GCGTTATAAATAGGTTAAACATGACAAACACAAACACTCAATACTGCTGCGTAACTGCGTGTATCACATATGGATATTGTACATGCATTACCAATTCTACTGGAATAAATTCGCTCTCATGGACACAAATTAATAATCCGTTGTAAAAAATATTTCTCAAAACACTCAATATAAACCTAGGATGCTAATATAGAACTTGGAGGGGATGCTAAGCATTCCCTGGCACTTTCGTACGTGCGTCAATACAACACACTGTTTTCATGAACAAACATCCCGTCCTCTCACGGTTCTTGCCGGGGACGTCATTCTATTATATAGATTTTTCGAGCGCATGAAAATGTTAACGTGAATATATCTATAAATGTGCATATATAGTACAATGGTACAATAACGGTCGAAAAACCTCGGTGGAACATCATCAAACATCAATCCCGCATAATTTTCTCGCCTATTAGTGATTTTTGCGTTGTTGACATGGCAACAGTTTGCTGACTTAATTTTCGATAAATCAAACTTAATGGGATTGCAAGCTATGATATTCTTTCACTACATATTTTAACGAAATAGACTGATACGTTCGTTATAGTAAACAATATTGTTATTATTATAAATTTAAATTATACATTGCATCAATGCATTTTGAATTTAATTACAAGTTACTACTTTGATTTAGTGTAACCTGAATGGACTACTTGGCAGTTGGAAAAAATTAGTACCATATAACAAAAAATAAAAAAAACCTTTATTAGGAAAAAAAAGAACAACTCGGCAAAAAACTTCGCAAAATCAAAACAAAGTAAAAAAAAAAAAGTAAACAGTACAAGAATTGTGAATGTTTTGATGAAATGTATTTGATCACGATGTCTTTAATCTACTGCCGATTAAACATGCGACTGTGCATATGGTCTCAGTGGCGTTACTACCGACTTTGGATCTAACACCACTTCAGAGACGGTCGGTTCGATCGATCCCCCACCCTCGCTCGACCTCTCTAGGTACATAACGGTGTTTGAGAAGTGTTTCGTATTGGACAAACTAAAACTAAATGTTCTAAATTCTCCTGAGAAAATTTCTTTTGATGAAACAACAGCTAAAGTTGACTCCAAAGGTATAAATAATAAATAATTGAAGCTATCCGAGAAGAATACATAAGATTCAAGGAAATCATATTGATTGGGACTAATATATTGCAAAATATCAAATAGAAAATTATCCATCCGACCGAAGCTCCGATGGGTTATCCGGGAAAACGCATCGCTGGTCGCCGCTGACGGTACGGCGGCGGATCTGACCACCGCTGAGCCGGCCACACGGTCCGCATGCAACCATTCGCTGCCGTAAACGTAACCAACGTATCGGGATTATCTCGCCATCGGTGCATTTTATAAGGAATTTTCACTGTGTGACAAAAAATGTTCTTCTCAAAATAGTCAATGTATAATACCATAGTACGATTAAAGAAGGTATTACACGGTTGTTTCACATTATTTCGCCCAATCTTTTAAAATACTGTCGACAGAGTACAATCACTGGGCGACATTTTTGTCGCACAAAAAAATAAAATGTATTCCTAAAAATCACAAGAAATATTTATAGGTGTTGGAAAATGTAATTTATAAATGTTGATGTTCCTGTGTTACGTCGAATTTAAATACATATTTATTAATTATAATATTTAATATTACATTTACAATATATCGTATAGCTTAAACAATAAACGAATTTAATGGCAAAATAATTTTTTATTTGGAAGGACAGATTCAAGATACTTTACAGCAAAAGCGATTTTACAGTTAAAAATAGTTTAAACTTAGTTACAAAAAAAAGGGAATGAAAAATGTTAAATTAAATAAATTATAAAATTGCAATACAGTTTTATATAATTGTATAAAAACCCAAAATAAGAGAAAAGGAAAAGAATAAAATGTGAGATTAGATAAGAAGTAAAAAGAAAAAAAAGAAGAGGATGGATAAAATTATATGGTAAAGAGAGTAAGGGTGATGGGCAGGATCTTGAATTGATTACATTCCTTCTTGTTTAAGGAAAGACTTTCAGGGTAACAAAGGTCCGAGAACCATTCAGTGCAACTGGATAGTCTCGAAAGCTATATAAAATAGCATTTATTTTGTTATGATGTATTTATGATGTTCGATTGTCGATGAGCCGAATGCTTATGATTATTACAGGAGAACAGAGCTCAAATTTAATTTTTATCAAATTTATAATAATAAAAAAATAATTGACCTAGAACAATTTTATTCAAATAAGTATTCAGTGGGTTGGAGACGTGTTGTTTCAAACGGCAACAATACGATAGCGAACATTTTCGTCTAAACCGGAGAAGCAAAAATGCGCAGAGAACAATGCTTTTGCCATTAGAATTGTTCATACGCTGATTAGGTGCATACGAAACGTGCCCGAACTTGGTAGCGACGTTGCATAATTTTTCGCTCGTTTGATGTTGACCTATCTTTGCATGAGGGCACTTAAAAGAAAATTATTAATTTAAAAAAACTATCTGACCCAGAAGACGTTGTTCTGCTAAATAAATTATCAAATAAATCAAACGTAAGTATAAATCAAAAGTGAAATATTATAGGTTCGAATATGTTCAATCATATTTTACTAGCTGTAAATTATTATTCAATTAAATATTTTACGCTTTTGTTTTAGCGTAATCTGCTATTGAATAATGTTGACTTAAGTCGACCCTAAATTTAAAAATAAATGTTTCAATTTAATCACTATTGTAAATAATCCGAGATGAATTTGATCAAACGCGATATTAATTTTATTTAGAATACTGAGACTAAATACAGTACTATTTAAACACGGTGTGGTTATCGCAATAATTTATAATGATCTAAAATATTGAAACACTTCAGATTTAGTTCAAAATTAATCAAAACTTGTTAGCAGCTTTCCGTGAAGCGTAAAATACAACCAACCAATATTAAATGATAAATATTACATAACCCCAAAGACATACATTATTATAAAAACAATATGTGTATTTTGTACCGACGTCGGAAGTCTTAACTTTTTCCTTTACCCCCTTAAACTCTTTCATGCACAATGGTTTGGAAATATTCTATACCCTTATTTCACAGTCGTTTCTATTTTAACTGTGTTACTTATCACTGTTAACGTTTGAATGGGGAGTATGACAAAATCCTTAAGTGTGCAGTACGAAAATTGATATATTTTAGCGCCTGCGTTAATGTAGCGGCTTCCAAAATGTATGCTGCAGCACTTTTACGCTATAAGCATTACATAAGCACTGCATCACCAACTGCTATCTGGTTTCTATTATAATTTTTCTGGTGTACCTACTTTATTTTTACCTAAAATAAAAGATCATTAGATTTATCAAAAGTACAATGTGATAAGCTAAATAACATAATAGATATAAATTTTAACCTGTAGAACAAATATAGTATATCATACAATTTTGGAATATTGACAATTTCAAGTGCGTATAAACAACACAGATTTCAATAAAATATTTTGAAACCATGATTTATTTATACCATATTTTATTTTTATTTTCACAATAAAGAAATGTATATTTTCCTACTCAAATCCGGATTAAATAGAAAATATTCTTAAGTAAAGTTTTGTGCATTTTCATTATAATTTGTTATTTTAAATGTTAATTAAGATATCTTGTAAATTATTAGAATATATATTTAAATATCAGCACTTTATGTAAGCATTTTTTTTTTATTTTATTTAACTTAATTTAAAAATTTATGTTAAGTTAAGTTAACTATAATTTTTAATTTAATTTTTAACATAGTTGAATATGAACTCAATTTACTTAATTTAATTGTGATAAAAAATAGCAGCCTTGACCAGCCTTGTCAAAGGTAAAATTATATATGTTTTATAAATTATTGAAGAAATTATTTGTGTGCAATTTTCTTTTTTAATTCCTTCGAATAGTTACGTATCTAAATAGAGAATAGTAAAAAAATACTAAAACACATAATATAAAATATTCTAATATACATAATTTTATGTATAATTTAAATGTTGCCAAGACAATTATATGGAATATTTTCCATAAGTAAATTCCGTAAGTAATTTTCCAGTTTTTTGACACATATATTCTTTATTAAATAAAACAAAAAAAAAAAAATAATAATAATTAACTTTGTAAAAGTATTTAAACTAAAATTTAAAAATCAACTAATTAATAATTGCATTTTTCGTGAATAATCAAGAATATTAATAGTATAATAAATATCACATATAATATCAAATTCAATGATTTTGTCATACTTAAATACGTCCAGGGTAATAAAACGATAGTTATGAATCACAGATTAATAAACAAAAGTCTATATGTAATTCACATTTTATTTTATTATTGTGAGTTCAAATTATAAATATATTACTTTTAAAAGGAATTATATTTTTATATGGTACAAAAATTTTATAATTATATGATTTATACTAAACTTTTATACGTATCATACTTATTTATATTATTTTATATTATACCGTCTATACATTTCAACCCCGATTTAAACGACACTAATTTAATCATATCAATAAAACTCGAATATGTGAGTGAGAGACTGATATCTTTAACTAAATAACTAAGGTATTTAAATTGAAATATCTTAAGATTGTAATAATTAGAACATTCCTAGTTACAATACAAATCTATACTAAATACAATATATTATTCATATCCCGTGATATATATTCATAAATTAAAAAAACGGTTCATCACGGAATGTTCCTTCAAAAATAATTGTTTAATCTATTGCCAATCAATATTATTGGCTATGATATTTTATAAAAAAAAAAGAAGTTTGATAAAACAATTTTTTTTCAACTCAGATATAAATGTATTGCCATCGATTATTTTAAGAATAATCAGCAATTTTTTAAATATTAATTAAATCATTTACCTATTATTTTATCTAAAACTCCGATATTAATTATCGTTCCTACAATTAAATCTTATTTATTGATTTCTTATAAATATGGCAACTGAACAATATGACGGAACATTGTGAATTGTTCTTCACCGTTGTTCAAGGGATCAGTTGTTCAACAGTTATTACTATTTCGAGAAAACTCAATAATTTTTTTCATAAATAATCCAACAACATAAAATGACAACAAAAGATGATGGTAAGACATTTTTTAAATTTAATTATTTTTTGTCACTGTCAATTGTGTATTTAGAAAATATTCAACGTGAAATATTTAAAATATTTCAGCTCCGAGTTTCGCATCGACAGGACAGTTTCCGGAAAGCTTTTTGTTCGGTGCATCAACCGGAGCATTTCAAGTCGAAGGAGCTTGGGACGAGGGTAAGTGTAACGTGTTGCTTTAATATCGTATAATTTAATAATTCTACACTATAATATCAACCATTGTTTCTATCCGGACGGGGTGTCC